AGGAAACACTGACTCAGTGCCAGCTTGAATTATAGACTCCAAGTAAAGACAGTTTCAAACTCAAAACAAAGTATCTTGGACCCAACCCACTTTTACTCAGGAGTCAAATATTCTTATATGTTTCTTTACTTACTTACATCCCCTCAAAATCTATGCTATGACAAGTTTTCGATAATCAGTGCCAGAATTTGAATCTCCTATGGGTTACTCTTATGTACCAGGTGAAATTAGAACACAAAAACAAAACAAAACAAAAAACCAGAAGACAGTTCTGTATTAGTAGAGCCCAAGGCAGTGAACAAACACTTGACTTAGCTTATCTTCACGAAATGGTACCTATAGTTACTCAGGTATTTAATCGTTCTCACAAAACTGAGAATTCAAAAGGAAGAAAATGTAAAAGGTTTCCATGTTTGTTTTATATCCTAACTACTGCACCTATGATGTCCTTCTCTGATATAGCAGTCATGCTGCCGCAGGGACTTCTTTGAGAAAGAAGTAACACTGTCCTCTTTTGGATAAACTATGTTAAATGAAAGGGCTAGCTGCTTGCCTCTGGGGAGAAGAAATTTAAATTGTAGTTATTTTTCTATTCTCATCCAACGACATCTCACCTCTTCTTTTTCTTTATTTTTGGCTTTTCTCTATCTCTTCCAAATAAGGGTAAAAACTGGGGAGGCTTGCAGTAAACTGGGAAATCAAAGGTACTGAAAATCTGAAACTTGAAAGGAGATTCTACATGAAAATACTCTTTTCAGGTTATCTCTAAATCATCTCCATGCCCTTCTGTTTGCTTTTCTTTAAAATTCAGTACGCGTCATTTCTGTCACCCACCATGTGGTTTGCCCACTGCTAGTCACAGGAGATATCCCAAAAATGGAGAAAGGACCCCAGCCCCAAAGGACTCATCAGGATGTGGCGACATACATGTAAGCAATCATTACAACCTGGCCAATCACTGAAGACACACATACACAGAATTAAAACTCAGTTGTATTCCCATCGCATTGAAAATATTATATAGTAAAGGTAAAATGACAATTTCAACCCTCGACTTATAAAAGCATCCTCAATGATTCCAGACTTCTTCCTATGCATATATCAATAAAGGTATATGTTTGTGTGTTCGGGGTCCCCAAGACCACTCCCAAGTTCTATAGCTTGCCAGCAGGACTCATGGGACTTAGCATACAATCATATTCACAAGATTTATTTACAGGGAAAAGACTTAGAGCAATATCAACAAAGGGGGCAGGTGTAGAGGGCAGGTGTACGGGACAAACTCAGAGAAGCCAGGCACAAGCTTCCCGGGGTCTCTCCCAGTGCACTCACCCAAGTCATGCTTAATTCCGCCAGCAGTGAATTACGATGGCACATGCGAAATGTCTGCAGGGGAAGCTCTTTAGAGACTCCATGTTTGGGGTTTTTATGGAGCTAGTCACACAGGTAGACTCTAACTGATATATATCAAAATTTCTGACTCTCGGAAGGAAAACAAGAGTTCGTTATAAACTACGTTGGTGGTACAAGCAGTTTAGGCACCAGTGAGCCACTTTTCTTAGTTGGGAATTGCAGAACCCCCCTGAATTCCAAGTGCCCAGATGCTAGTCAAAGTCCAACCTGCTAAGCAGAACTTTCGGAGGATTACAGTCAGGCCTGCTTTGTTAACTCTCTCCTGCACAATTCATGTTTACGCTCTGTACAAAATGTTCCATTTCTCTACATTCTACTGTCTGTCTGTCTGTCTGCAACTTTTCTTTTGAAGACACTGTTGTGGACACCTTCCTAGGCCATTTCACAAAGGTCGACCTACTTCTTTGTCTTAGTATTCCATTGGAGAGACAGTTTCTTTAATTCCTAGATAGAGTGAGATTTCATTTGCTTGCAATTTTTCATATTATGAATTATAATCAATGAACGTCATTATTCATATACTTTTCACATATTCATGCTTATTCTTTCTGTTACATAGGCTTGTAATTGCTGTGACATGTTTCTAGAAATGGTATTCCTGATGTCATTGACTTAGAAAGGAAGATCGTTAGTTGGAATTTTGGTGGATGTATTAACATAAATAGAGTTTGTTGGAAAAGAGGGTTATTAAAAAGCCCAGGTACAGTTGATCAGAATCAGTGCCAGGGAGTTCAGAGAGGGTGGATATGTTGTAGACTTAGTTCAAAGGCAATATAACAGCCCCTATCTGTGGATGGCTAGTGAAGGGTGAGCCAGGAGAGCTAAAGATGACTCCCAGTTACATGATCCGGTGGACAGCAGGTACGTGGCATGCAAGGAGAGTGATTAGAAATAATTATAATAATTCAGGGAAGAAATGACGGGGCTCAGATTTCCAAGTGGTCATTCATTCATACATACCAAGCATCTGCTACAGATCAGCTACTCTGTTAGCTATTAGCATTAGTGCATCTTTTTTTCCTTTTTTGGCCAAGAACGTGGAGACAGAAATTTGATGCAATATAGATTTAAATGCACTTGGCCATTAATTAATTTCATTGCTATTCTTTTGTGAATGGCACAAAGCTTAATAAGAGCTGTATAGAGTAATGGTGAATCACATCCTAGATGCTTGAATAATTTGCACACACTTTAGCGTAAAAATAAGAAGAAGGAGGGAAGGAATTATGAAAGCAAATAGGATCTCTCTTGTGTCTAGGTTTGAAGACAGACTGTCTCCTACACGCCCATCTCAGACAAATGCCCTTAGCAAACAGGAGTGGGCGATCCACCTCCTCACTGCGCCCAGAGAACATTCTCTCCTGCACAGTTCTGAGTATCACTTGTGGGGGCATCAAGTGTGATGTGAAAGAGAGAGGCCAGTAAGCAGTTCTTTTTATTCTTTTCACTGATTTGCTGTTCCTTCACACTTGCCCCTCCTTCCTGGTCCATGAGCCTAAAATGCAACTTCCTATTGTCTGGAAGACCAGACACATATAAATCACAATTTGAATGACAAGGGGAATTTTATTTTTATAGGGTTTTATGCATCCCTCAATAGAAACTGACGTGCTTTTATGCATTTTGTTTCACAACTTGCTTGAATTTATATTGGAATCTGCTTTCTGATTAAGTTTATTTGACTAGGCAGAAAAGTCCCATCTGCATTCATTTGCACTCAGTATATGTAAGGAATGTGATCTCACACATTCTTTTAAAAATTGTTTTTCATAGTCTCTGAGGCTCATATGGGGAGAGGGGTCCACATTTTTTCCTTCTGCAGACTTAACTCTCTTTATTCTCCTTTTAATTCCTGTAAAAAGTCAAGCTAAATTCTTCAGAGAAGATATACAAATGGCTAATAAGCACACGAACAGATGTTCAACATCACTAATCATTAGGGAAATGCAGAGCAAAAGCACAATGAGATACCACTTCACACTCAACGGGATAGCTATTATTTTTTTAAAAATACAGAAAATAACATGTCAGCAAGGGTGTAGAGAGGTTGGAAACTTTGTGCATTGCTGGTGGGAATGTAAAATGTAGGGGCTGTGGAAAACATTATGGTGATCTTCAAAGAGTTAAACCTAGAATAACCATGTGATCCAACAAGTCTAGTTTTAGGTAGAAATTTCTACTCAGAAGAATTGGAAACAGGGATTGAACAGACACCTGCGCATCAACATCCATAGCTACATTATTTGAAATCGCCAAAGGTGAAGGCAACCCAAATGTCCATTGACAAATAAGTAGATAAACAGAATGTGGTCCATACATACAATGGAATATTATTCAGCCTCAACAAGGAATCGGATTCTGAAACATGCTACAACATGGATGAGGCCTGGAAGACACTGTTCTAAGTGGCAAAGCCAGACACCAAAAAGAAAATATCATGTGATTCAACTTGTATGAGGTTCCCTAGGGTCGTAAAATCCATACAGACAGAGAGTAGCCTAGTGGTAGCCAGGCCCTGGGAGAGGGGGAATGGAGAATCATTGCATGATGGAACAGAGTTTCCATTCGGTAAGATGTAAAAGTTCGAGAGACGGCTGGTGGTAATGCTTGTGATAACACTGTGAATGTATTTAATGCCACTGAACCGCGCACTTAAAAATGGCTAAAATGTTACATTCTATGTTATGTATATTTTGCCACAACTTAAAAAAATGAAAAAAAAAAAAAAGTCGAATGGTAATCAAGGCTACCCAGGCAAACCTGTACGTTTTGCCAGTGGTGCTTTTTCCTCGTTTGGGAGGATTTTCTCTTTTTTCCGTCTTTCACCCCAGCTCCCTCTCTCTGCCTTGGTGCTGTTTGCACTCCTCTCCCTCATCCTCATTTACAAAACTTTCTCTAATGACAGATTCTGATACAATCAATGATCCCTGAAGGTCTTCGAGCCAAGATGATAGCTTTCTCTGGTATATTTTCATTTTAAGACTCTGCTCTAGTTGAAAATGTTAGGTGGCATTCCCTGGGAGAGGAAGCCTTCTGGGGGCTCTAGCATCTCCGTGCTTTGGCCCGTGTGGCCCTGCAGAAGACAGGTGCTGTGGTGACACATTCAGTCAGGAAAACGGAAGTCACGGTAGGTGTTCCGAGTGAAAAGGGATTTCACACAGGGAGTAAAGTTTCCAAGTGGTTGAGAGAGCCGGAGTGAAAACGAGGGTGGGAGGAGGCGTGTGCCCCAGGGGCCCAGCACGGCAGCCAGCCCGCCCCGCCACGGCCCCTGCGCCCGCAGGCCGCACCCCGGTACCGCCTGCATCAGCCGCTGCCTCTCCCACTGCTCTTAGATGCTGCCGTGCAAGCCAGAGCCAAAAGAAAAAGCTTCTACTTGCCTCTTGCTCTCATGACAGTGCCTCCTATGGGTGGAATCAAAACTGCAACCAGGATGGCAGGGGAGTCTGAGAAACAAGAGTTCACAGGCTTCTGGCCCCTTGTGATCTGGGAGGGTGGGGTGGGGGGCATGGAAAGGAAGGTCCGGAGAACCGCGGGCAAGACCTGGCGCACGCCTGGTGTTTTGTGAACTGAGCGCCTTCTCGGGAACAGGCTGAGCCCTGCGTGAGGAGGCAGCTTCAGGCTCCAGAAAGATCATATCTCCCAGGTGAGACCGACCTCCCCTACAGCTCTTACTTAGACCTTGGGCAGTGATAGCAAGAAACATTTGTCAAGCCCTTTCAGGAAGCCCAAGCCTCTGTGAAGTGCCTGAGACCTCACATCAGCATGCTGTGAGGTAGGTCTTGTCCCTTCCATTCTACAGATGAAGAACCTGGAATTGAGGGCGGGGGACAGGCTACATAACCAATGCGTGGGGGAGCTGGGATTCAAACCCGGGTCTGAGTGCTTCCTCTCACGGTGAACTCTTGGAACTTCCATTTCCACCTCCCAGGCTTGCTGGGGATTTGACGAGATGCTGGAGGAACATCTCCTGTTGCATGTGTCTATTCCTCGCCCCAGGAATGTGGCCTTCAGCTCTCTGCCTGGGCCCTATGTCAGCGAGCACTTCTGCAGAGAGCATAGTGGGAGGTCTCCTCCCCCCTGCAGCTGCCTGCCAGCATGTGCGCAGCCTGCTGGGTGACACCACTGCCTCCTGCTTCGGGAAAATGGACTTAGTCCTGTACCTAAGAGGGACATCCAAAGACTTGATGTGGTTTCCCTGCTGGGTAACATTTTCCTCTTCAACCTGTATTAATTTCCAATGGCCACTATAATAAATTACCACAAAGTTGGTGACTGAATAGAAATGGATTTTCTCACAGTTCTGGAGGCCCAGAGCCTGATATGAGGGCGGCAAGGCCACGCTCCCTCCAGAGGCTGTAGGGGAAGATCCTTCCTTGCTTCTTTCAGATTTGGTGGCTCTGCCATTCCTTTGCTTAAAGCCACGTGACTCCAGTTTCTACCATCATCTTCAAATCAACTTATCTTCGGTGTGTCTGTTTAATCTCCCTCAGCCTCACTCTTTTAAGGCTGCTTGTGATCACAGCTAGGGCCCCCCAGACAATCCAGAATGATCTCCTCATCTCAAGATCCTTAACTTAGTTATGTCCACAAAGACTCTTTTCCCCAAATAAGGTAATATGCATATGTTCCAGGGATTGCGATGTGGCCATATGTTTGAGGACACCATTCGGCCCACTGTTTCCCTCTCAAGGGAGGAAAGAAAAGCAAAGAGATATTTTCTGCTCTCTCCTCCCGGGAGCACATCTTTGGACGTGGGCTTTTCTCCTTTATCCCACAGCATCTTTCTTCCAGTACCTTTCAGCCAGCGCCGCCAAAAAAAGTCACACATCCTGACACACACACTAAACAGCTGGATATTTGCGATTACAGCTCTTTGGGCTTCTTTGGTTGAGCAAAGTTCATAGACTCAGGCCTTATTTCCAGTTCAGGCCAAACAACACTGCCTTTGGCTCCGTCGTCAAAAATTCCTCCACGGTTCTCATCTCGGAGAAACTACTCAAATTAGTCTCCTCCTTTCTGGTTCTCTGCCCTATAAAAAACACGAGAGAGGCTTCTCCAACTAATTTATTCCTCTCTGGTTTCTTTTTCCTGGACTTTATTTCAGTAAAAACTTCTTCAGTACTCTTCAATTTTGGAGTTGTGTCATATAAATCCCTTGCATGAGATTAACATCCAAATTTTCTGTTTCCTTCCTTTCAGATCTCCATGCCTTGCCCCACCCCACCCCCCAGCATTTACTACATTTTCACTTCTCACTGTTTTCCCAGGCTGTCATTAATAAAAGCATAAAACACAGGCACCAGATAACTTGGTGATACTGTCCTGGTCCAGGAAGAAAAGCAGTGACTACTCTTAATTCCCACACAGTATTTGGGAAGGGGGTGGTCTCCGCTCTCTGAAACCTCAGTAGAAAGATGACCAGGAGGCTTGGCTCTCTGCTCTCTCAAACTGGAGCAAAGGACTGCAGTCAGTTGGCTCACCTGTCCATATGTGGGATTGATTCCATGTGAAATAAGATTTGCAGGTTCTCACAGCTTGGCTCTCAAGCTGAAGTAGGGGCTCCTTGCTCTGTTCACCATTTGGTAGATATTCTCCTTCACTTTATACCAAGGGCCTGATCTTTTGATTCTCATCCCTCCTTTGAACACCATTGGAAGAGCTTCCATTTGTACAGCACTTCTAATTTTGTAGAACTTTGCACAGAGATTCTTATTTGATCCTGAAAACAAGCCAGTGAAGCAGGTGGTTGGATGTTACTGCCCTCACTTTACAGATTAAGAGACTGTGGTTATGTGATTTGTACCAAGCCACCAGCCTGTGAGTGGCAAAGTGGCCTGTAAGTAGGGCCCTAATGTACGAACTGTGGTTATGAAGACAGTTTGCTTTCTGCTCCTGGCCTTTTCCTCTTATTTTTCCTCTCCCCCCTTTTTTCTCTTTTCATCTTCTCCATGCCCTCTGACTCAGTTCCCTACTATTCGTCTTCCTCTCTGTTCTGATTATTTCTGCCAGTCTCCTAGACCTGAGTTTCTATACTAACTTCTCTACTGCTAACTGTGTAACCTTGGACATATTTCTTAACTTCTCTGAGCCTCAGTATCCTCAGGGCTGATACTGACTTCCATGAAGAGCCAGGTGAAGCTTAAAAAAATTTTACACACACACACACACACACACACACCTGTCTATAGAGACAGAGAAAGAGAGAGAGAAATTAATAACCTGGCATTTGGTTGGTAGTCAACAAACATTTCCTTTCTCTCATTCTTTAGTAGTGTGGACGACACATGGCTGAGACTATACATACACTCTTGCCCCCATTCACCTGTGTCATCTTTAGCATAGAACTGTTGGATTTGATTTAACAGGAGACCCTGGCTGTGCATCTGTGACTATGAACCGTGGCCAAATGAGAAAATCCTGATAGATGTGGCTGGAGTGATTAATAGCAGCCTGTCCTCAGAGCTCTGAGAGTGGTGAGTGAGACACATTGCCCTGACTCTACTTCTGATTTTGTGTTGTCATGTGCAGCTCTTTGGCCAAGAGGAAGCCCTGTATCCACAGCATGGCTTCTGGCCACAAGCCTTGGATTTCTTGGGTCACCAAGACAGATTCTCTGAGTGGAAAAGAAAAGGATCGAGGACAGTGGTATTTACCCAGAGAAGTGTGTGAACACGGGATGTGCGTGCAGCTGGATTTTCATCTCTGACCGATCTCCTCTTTGGACACAATATGACCCAGAGAAGGCACGGCAGAGCCATGCTGGTGCTCCAGTAATGGGTTTGCCCCCATTCCTGGGATGCCATTAACTCCTGCTTTCCCAGTGAGAAATTCATCATTAGGACAGCATATCTAAGAAGAGCACAGAGATATGGCTTGTTTTCAGATGTTCTACTAACTGACCTTCACCCATTTTCTGCAAATGAGATAATGTTATTTCCAAAGCCAGGTACTTACCTGCTTCTCTTCTGCATTTATCTAACTGCCTTAGCACAAGGAAGTTTAAACAGAAAGAATCTTGGGCTGTGTCACTGTTGCCTACTAAAGTTGGGATTTTCTCCCCCCACCTACATGTCTTGAACATTGTTGTCAGGCTGGAAATAAATCTTGAGGCAGAGCATTCACTGATTTCATTCAAAGGAAGACAACAGTGAATATGTCGCATTCTTTCACAAGCCGGTTGTCAGTTTCTTAAACAGTACTTCCGGGACTGTGATCAGCCAGGAATTGGGAAGCAGGGCTTCTGGTCTGCTGGGCCGGTGTCCCTGAGTCAGCCTCACTCTGGAGTAATAGAAAAACCACAGTTCCTATCTGAAATTGGATAGTTGGATGATGTTTCTCTTGGCTTCAACTCTAAAGGCTGGTGCCCAGAGCCAATCTTTGGCAAAAGTGAGAAGAATGAAGTTTGTTTCTCCCTCAAAATCTCCCAGCATTCCTCTCCCTCCCCTTTTCTCCTGTTCCTTTCCAAGTTCCCAGGGCTTTGTGCCTCTTGTACCCCATCCACATGTGGACTCTGAGAGGATCTGAGGCATAGTTTCTACATGTGCAAGTGGTTAATATTGTCCAGAACAGTGCTTCACAACTTTGAAGTATGTATGGATCTCCCACATTATTAACATGCCGGTTCTGGTTCAGCAGCTCTGGAGTGGGCTCTGGTTCTGCATTTTTAACAAGCTCCTGGTGATGACCATGTGGCTGGTCTGTAGACCACACTTTACGTGTAGGAAAACCCTCCAATCCTCCTCCTTTGTTTCTTCCTTACTCTGATACCACTACCACGCCGACAATGCTTCTGACACCAGTCGTGTGGGTTTTCCCCACACCACCAGGCAATTCTGCGACACCAGTTGGGTGTTCTACAGTTTAACTCAATTCTGACACTGTCTACCTAAAGACAGCATCAGATCCCCCAGCGTTAAGACCTAAGTGCCATAAGACTGTCCCCTCTCCCCACCTGATACGCCTATCGCAAGTAATGGGTCCCTAGGTTAACCACAACTTCTGTCCAACTTGGCTACACATTGGAGAGTCCCATGACCTCTTCCCCTTTGGATGAAACATTTTGCTAGAACAGCTCACAGAACTCAAGAAACACTTAATGTTTACCAGTTTATCAAAGGATGTGATAAAAGATACAGATGAACAGCTACATGAATAGATACAGAGGGCAAGGTCTGGGAGCTTCTGGAGTGCAGAACTTGTGTCCCCAGGGACTTGGGGTGATCACTCTCCTGGCATATAGATATGTTTACCCCATTAGAAGCACTCTGAGCCCCACACTGTTGGAACTTTTTTGAGGGTTCATTACAGAGACATGATCAGTTATTTATTCCATTTCCAGCCCTCTCCCTCTTCTGAAGAATGGGGGACAGGGCTGAAAATTCCAAGCTTCCAATCATTAGACTTGATCTTTCTGGTGACCATCCTCCAACCAGGAGCCCACCCAAAGTCACTTCACTAGAACAAGGAATGATTTTAGTGCTCTTATTAGTTAGGGATTTATAAGGGATTCAGGAGCCCTTGTCAGGAACTGGGAGCAAAGACTAGTAAATATACATATATTTCTTATTATTTAACAAAGACCAAAGCTTTAAACCAGCCCTAAAGGGAGACAGCAGAAATGGTAAAAGTCCGGGGCGCCTGGGTGGCTTAGTCGGTTAAACATCCGACTTTCGCTTAGGTCATGATCTCATGGTTCGTGGGTTCAAGCCCCGCGTCGGGCTCTGTGCTGACTGCCAGCTCAGAGACTGGAGCCTGTTTCAGTCTGTGATTCCCTCTCTCTCTGACCCTCCCCTGCTCACGCTGTCTCTCTCTCTCCTAGAAATTAAAAAAAAAAAAAAAGAAAAATAATGGTAAAAGTCCCCCCTTTTCCTTTCTGGTTAGGAGAGACAGAGACAGAGAGTATTTCTCATATTTCCTAGTCATTAGGATCTCTTTTTATATCCTGCACAACAATTGGTTTGCTTGATCCAAATTTTAAAATTAATTGTTCAGGTTAGTTCTCACCGATTCATACCCATGATAAATATAATTTTCACTTAGAAACACTTCTCAAAATACTCTGAGCTCTCATTTTGGTAAAGATCAATTAAATTTAAATTAAGTTCCTTACAAATTTTGTTTCCACAGTGTATTTTAGGGGCAAGAAAGGAAGGAGAAATCCAGAGATGGGACCAGTGAAGATGGCCCAGCTTATACCTATGCCTTCTTACCTGCCGCTGCAAGTCAACGCATCTAGCAAACCTCCAGGGGAAATGATTTGCCCGAGAAACTGAAGAGCCGGAAAATAGGAGCTCATCTTAGAGGGAAGAATCCAGCCAATAAGCCAGATCCAGAATCAAAACCTTAGTTCTCAATAAATCAGATGGGTCCCCATCCCAGCCTTCTACTGACTCAATATACAGGTCACTGGAGAGAGAAGGCTGTGAGCAAATACAAAAAGCTATTTTCATGAATTATTCTTTAAGAGATTAACTTTGCCTTTTAATAGGACGGGATCCATAAAGGTGGAAGTCAACCTCAGGGTCTTCCCGTCTCCACCACTCTAGTAAGGGTACTCACCAAAGCTGAGCAGGGGCTGCCCCGGGGTAGCAAAAGTGCCCAGTGGAGGCAGTAACAAGGACTGTGGGATGTAGGAGCATACTACCTGGAGGCAGTAACAAGGACTGTGGGATGTAGGAGCATACTACCTGGAGCCCAGGAGGACAACAAGGGGAGGAGGAGAGTGGAACAGAGTGGAGACAGCACAATGGACTCATATGGGGAGCCGAACAATTTCAGTCATGATCATATGAGAGAAACTCTCTGGAGACTTCCAAGAATGTGAGAGAAGAAGTGCTGGTGAACAGGGATTTGGCTGGGGACTAAGACCCTGCATTACCAATAGGAATAAAAGCCAAAGGCCACTAACTGAAGCTATTCAAAATCTCATATGTTTGGCCTCTACTATGTGATTTATAAAACCAGAACGTAGGACATGATGAGTGGTTGGGGTCTACCCTTATGCTTTGGTCAGAGCAGCTCTGTTCTTATCTGTTTGTTCTTTCTTTCTTTCGTTCTTTCTTTCTTTCTTTCTTTTTAAAAATGTTTTTATTTATTATTTTGAGAGACAGAGAAAGAGAGAGAGAGAGAGAGAGAGCACAAGCAGAGGAGGCACAGAGAGAATGAAGGAGAGAATCCCAAGCAGGCTCCAAGCTGTCAGTGCAGAACCCAACTTGAGGTTCAAACTCATGAATTGTGAGACCATGACCTGAGCTGAAATCAAGAGGCAGACACTTAACTGACTGCTCCACCCAGATGCCCTTTTTCTGTTATTTCTTATGGGGCAACTATATATGATTTTATTTGAAGGCAGGGTTCCTAAGCTTGAATCCCTGAGCAGGATGCCCCCCAAGGGCCCAGCCAGCACTAGGACTCTACTGCTTTTCTTCTATGAGTAAGAAAGTAGTAATGGATACTCTGATAAGGTTTTAGAACACACAGGGCTTCTGGGAGCCAAGGCCAGGCCAGGGAAGATTGTAGCCACAAGGGATTCCCAAAGTTAGATTAATAGCTTTAAATGTTGACAACGTTCAATTCCCTGTAGACACCTAAGCCATTTAGGACAGTTGTGGCAGTGTTTAGAGCCAGGTAAGGATCTCTGGGACACGAGCTGAAATCCCTGGAGAAAATGAAGGTGGGCAAAGCCCCAGAACTCACAGGCTATTTTAAACCAGGAATTTAAAAGCTCTTGCTCACATTCCTAGCTTTGCAGTGTTCAAATTCAGGCCCCGTCACCAGCTGGCGTCAGAAGCTCTGAATGTCCCCAGGGAAGGAGGCCATTTCCAAATTAACCAGGATCCAAATCAGAGACCTTATTCTACCATGATTGAAATGTTCCGAGTAATAGGATTTTGGATAAATTAGTTATTCATCATGAGAGAGGTATTATAGATAAATACCATATCTCATTGCTATTCCAAGCTGTCCACTAGTCATCTCCTTTAAGGAGAAAAATAGAAGAATTAACATGGTTCTGAACAGTGATCTGCTTAATGATTTCAAGGTTTTTTATCTGGAGAGGATTTCAATAAACTACTTTAAAGAAGTGGAAGCAAAAAAAAAAAAATCAACCTATGTGAAGGGCTTGTATAATTGCTGAAAGGTTGGTTCTCTAGTGCTAGAAATCAACGAAAAGGGTGAATGTTATGGAAAGACTTTTAAGTAGTTATTCAGGAGAAACTAAATAGAAAATCAATCAGTAAAATAAAAAATTCATAAATCCAATTGCTTCTAATTGGCTCTGAACATAGTACAGAATTCAAAATGTTTGCCTATGAACAGCTCTGTCTCTTGAAATTATGACTCTTATCACAGGAAAGAGCAATTGGGTTACTTTTTTTTATTTCTATCAAAGAAAATTCATCAAGGCCAAAACAATCCTGCAAATGGCTCAAGCTGAAAAATTCTTCATTATGGCTATTTATGGAGAAATTCCTACCAAAGATTTACTCAGACTAGGAAGAACATATTTCCATTTCAAGTCTTTAAACATTTAGTAAGCCCCTACTATGTACAAAACACTAAGATGGGCCCTGTGGGAGATCAACAAACTGATAAGCTAGGATTCCTGAGAATTCACAATTTTAAAGGAGAAACAGACGAATTTTTAATTTAAAAAAAATTTTTTTAAATGTTTATTTGTTCTTGAGAGAGAGACAGAGTGAGTGGGGGAGGACCAGAGAGAGAGAGAGAGGGAGACACAGAATCTGAAACAGGCTCCAGTCTCTGAGCTGTCAGCACAGAGCCCAGTGCAGGGCTCAAACTCACGGACGATGAGATTGTGACCTGAGCTAACGTTGTACACTTTACAGACTGAGCCACCCATGCACCTAGAATGCCTAAGTTTTTTTTAAAAGAATGCTTATTTATTTATTTTGAGAGAGAGAGAGTGTGAACAAGTGGGGGGTGGGGGGAGAGAGAGATAGGGGGGCGGAGAGAGAGAGAGAGAGAGAGAGAAAGAGAATCCCAAGCAGGCTCCATCCTGTTGGTACAAAGCTAGAACTCATGAAACATGAGATCATGACCTGAGCTGAAATCAAGAGTCTGAAGCTTAACAGACTGAGCCACCCAGGTGCCCTGAGATGAATGCCTAATTAACTTTAGGACAAGCATTAATACAATAAGGGTTTAATAATAGAGATATCACCACACACAGTGTGGGAAGAGAGAGGGTCACAGATGGTTTCTTGCACAGATCTACAAAGGTTTCTTAGAGGAGGTGAAATAAGAATTAAGAAGACACTTCACACAGAGAGAATACTTTGAACAAATGTCCAGTGCAGATGTGAACTAGAATATTTTATAATAACTGAGAAGACTTGGTACAAGGTAAAGTCCTGAAGAGTATGACATTTATGTTTAGCACTATTTTCCCTGCCTCTCCATCTCAGACTTTGGTGGGCAGACATAATTTGTGTACTGCTCTCATTTCTCGTGTTAGGATGAAAATTTCTCAATAAACATAGACACTCTTAAATGTTACTGACTTAATAGGTTACCCTTCCCAAGGAGTATTTGCTCTTTAAAATAATTTTAATTTTTATTATGTATTTGTTGAATGTATAGAAGAATTCAAGATGAAGACGTATTCTTGATTTAAACAGTAAAGATACCTTTAAGAAGATTCTGGTCTCCTTTTTTTTTTTTTATCATGAGCATTTTCTACATTCCAAAGTGTTTGTTTTTAAAACAGGGGCATAAGGAAAGAACCGCATTCTGTTCTAAGGTACTATCTTTCCTCTGGTGGAGTAATTTCAGGCATCTGGGTGACGATGGTATTTTCAGGTAGGAAGATTTACCTAAGAAAGCCCTCTGGGCCTTAGTTAGTATTTGGTCTGAGCACATGTTTTAGAGACAGAAAGTTCTGCATTTCACTTCTAGCTATGAATCTGGGAACAGTGAGTCTGAAGCAGATAACTCTGCCAGGACTTCCACGTGTGCAAACGAGAGTGATCTCTGGCCATCATCAAGTCCAGAGTGGGGCATAACGTTCCCCTCAATCACAACAGCAAGTCATCCCTAGTACAGCTGCAGGGACAGGGAGGGGCCGATGAACTCCCCAGAACAGCTGTGGGTGTAGGCCACAGGGACCTCAGGGGAGCTCCCAGAGCCCTCTCCTACAGCCCTTGCCGACACCCACACCCCTCTCTTCCTAGCCTGTGTCTCCTAGCTGGACTGGGCATCTATCAGACCTCAGAGGAGAATTACTTCTTCCAGGGGGTTTTCCCTTCGTCCACACCCAGTCTCTTCTCATTCTCACGACATCTTCTAATTTACTAACATTTAGTGTCTACATTCCTTGCTTGACCGGAAGATTCATGAGGCCACCTATCAGATCAGTACAGTTTACTGCCTGACCCATGGTAGATGGCCTCAAATATTCTTGAATGAACTAATAAAGGAAAGAGAAAAGGAAGAAAGGAAAGGAGGGAGGGAGGGAGCGAGGGAGGAAGGAAGGAAGGAAGGGAGGGCGGGAGGGAGGGAGGGAGGGAGGAAAGAAGAGAAGGGTGGACCCTGTCAAAATTCATTCCATTATAATCAAAAAGCCATCTAGAGGACAGAAGGAGGGTGTGTTCAGACTGATGTGGCAGCCACTGAGGAAGAATTAGGAGTAGCTCCCATTAATATGCTATAATCTTTCTGAGAGAGCAAAAGGCAGCACTGGGGCCCACTCATTCTTACATATGTCAGCTTCACTTTCAGCGCTATTCTTGCTAATGTTTAAATGCCGGCGTCATGACCCTGGGGCCTCATGAACGGCACATGATAAATTCCCGCAAACTGACACTCTTCCACTGCTCAGCAGAGAACTTCATAATATCGTTCACCTGCTTTGCAAACTGGACCTCTTTTACTGAGAATAGTAGATGAATATTTTAAAAGAGTCTTTCAAGAAACTGTAATAGAGTATTTCATCAGAAAACATTCTGCTTCTGTTTGAAATTCAAAATATTTTATGGGGCATAGGAATGGAAAATTTGGATTATTTCTTCCATTCTTATCTTGACTTCAGAGTTATGTTAGAGAGAGGTAAGGGTGCAGTGATAAGAGCTTAGCATGGGGATTTAGCATTCAATTCAATGTAAGGAACATCTATCAAGTACTTATTGAGTTGAGTGTTCAAAATAATACCAGTGTCAGACATTGCACTGATAATTAAAATGTGTTATGCAGTTATGATGTCAGGTAATAAATTGTTTCATTTAATCCTGTTGGCTCTATACTTGGTACGGTACTACTGTTATCACAACTTTATCGATGAAAATAAAGGCATAGAGATGAAAACCAAAACCAAAACAAGCCAATGAATTAAAAATAATATGCCCAGGGCCCAA